AAAGAGCAAGGAAGGATGGGGATGCCAAGAGACCGGCATTCGGCACTGCCTGCCGTTGGCTACGGAGGGAGAATGGAGGCAGAGGGACAAAGGGCGCAGGAGAAAGACAAAGGGAAGATGCCAGCAGCCTGCTGGGGAGGAGGCAGTGTTCCAGCTTTTTCTTTTTTTTGGAGGGGGGGAGGGAAAGGAAAGAAACAGAATTGATGGGTGACAGTGTCTGGGGGAGGAGAGGCCTGCAGGGTTCCAGCAACAGGTGACAGCCCCATGCATGGGAGCAGGGAAGGGCTTGGGTAAGCTGCTGGGATCGTCCTGGTTTTCCTTTGAGAAATATGGGTTACCAGCGCTGGTAGGGACAGGAAACTGGGAAGCATGGGGAGAGATGTGAGGGGGAGGAGACTAGGTAAGGAAACAGAACAATGATGGGGAGAAAACGCAAGGGATGGAAAGGTCCATGCCAGCCATTAGAAGGTAAGTGACATTCACCTCTGGGCAGTGTGTGCATGAGTCTGTATTTTAACCTGAAACAATCACTCCAGGTTAGGGTGTGGAGCTTGGTCCTCGTTGTCACATTTTCAGATGGATTTAGAGGCAGGTGACCCAAGCAACCACCTGGGGGTGGGGGGTTGGGGACAGGGGAGCGGCTGTTTTTATGGTTAGCGAGAAAACAATGTTTGAAGCAAAATGTTTCAGGTAATCCCTAAGTGGATTCACTTTTCACTAAGTAGAATGTTCTGGACCTACGTAGATTCTCCCGGAACCTACCAGACTCTAAGACCCACACTGTCCTTGAACCTCTTAGAGCAGGGGTTCTCAAACTTTGTGATACCACAACCACCCCTAAGTTGTTCGCAATCCCCCCCCCCCGGGGGGGGCAGGGGGTCAGGACCCACAGCATGAGAAACACGGTCCTAGAGTTTTGTCAGCCATGCCCTTGCAAGAATATAAGGGCAGGGCATCACCAGTTAGTCAGAGAAATAACCAGCTGAAGTAAGATCATGCCTAGGGTTATTCTAAAGCGCTCTCCTACTGTAACGCTATTTAATACTGCTCTGCGTGGCACACAGGACCATTTCCTGACATCAGTGCATTTCAGATATTAACATTAAAAAGTTCCTATAAGCTTAGAGGAAATGATTTTATGTGGCATAAATATCATTAGAGCCTAGTGTGCAAATTTATCAGGAGGGATAATTCATGCATGCAAATCATTCAAAGTCGTGAAATGGACAACAATTGCAATACAAAAATAAGGTATTTCAAAGCTTAATAATTAGGGGAGAGCACCACCAAAGATGATCCTTACCCAGGACCCTGCTTGGTCTAGGCTGGGCCAGCCCTGGTCCTACTGAATCCTTTCACTGCATCTGTACTTACATTCTCTCCATTTTGAAGGAAAACTATCCTGAGGTGCTGGCAGTCACAGGCTGTGTCTACACACCAGCTTTACTGCAAAATAACATAGTCCATATCTACACAAGCAGTTATTGCAACAATGTCAAAATAACGGCCAGAGGACTTCTTACTCCAACTTCTGTAACCCTCATTATATGTGAAGTAAGGAAAATCAGGGATGGGGAGGATGAGTGCTTTATCTTGAAATAACTGCTGTGAATTGCATAGCTGGAGTCAACATACCTTGCGCCGATTTTCTGGGGAAGTCCCACAGCAGGAGAAATACTCCCCTTGCTCCTTGTGAAAGCCAGCTTAGTACCAGCACTGACATAGAAACTCACTAAATCAAATGGGAGGGTGCCCATCTAAAGCAAACCCCGGAGGATCATCTCCAAGGCATCCATCCTCCTGCAAGTGGAGATGTGGCCCTAGATACTTGTTCAAGGTAGCAAGCCCATTGAAAACACTCATGGCATTGGCTCAATATCCCATGGGGTCTTAAGGCATACTCTGTGCACTCACTGGAGAAACATCTTAATGGACATTTACAAAAATAACTTCTGAAGTTTTGGGCTAGGATTGGAACACTATGCTCTGGGGCAGGAACACCCAGGCACACTTAGGCCTTCCTGCCAGTC